GTGCTTTTTGCGAAGCGCTGCTGCTCCCTTCCTTTTTGCTAAGACCCGTAGCTTTGCAAAAGGCAGGGAAAAGCAGAGAAGTGACCGTTGCTTTCCCCTGCTTTTTGCGAAGCGCTGCTTCTCCCTTCCTTTTTGCTAAGACCCATAGCTTTGCAAAAGGCAGGGAAAAGCAGAGGTCACTTTTGCTTAGCAAAAAGAAGGGAAAAGGGGCGGTCAAAGGGCACCAGTGGTGGAGGCAGCAGCAGCAGCAAGTGGAGACTGAAGCAAAGTAGCAGCCCGGCTCAGCTGCCTCTCGCTGCTGCCCATTGGCTGCTGCCGCCGCCACTAAGTCACAAGGAGGCGATTGCTGGAGCCTCCTGCTGCTGCCTTCTGTGTATAAAACGACCCTCAATTTTTCCTCTAATTATTTTAGGAAAAAATATCTTTTTATACACGGAAAAATATGGTAATTCTATTACTGGTTCCATACTGACTTTACAACATAGAAGTGGAATTTAAAATGTCTTGCCTTTTGCTTTCCACTTGATTCTGCAGGAACAATGGCCAGTTCAGAAGGAGACTCAGAAAGGATGGTGGATGAGAGAAGGACGACCTCTGAAACAACAAACAAGGTGCATGGAGCTGAAAGCAGTTTCACATTTTCTGACTTAAGAGGGATCCTCAAGGGATTTATTTATTTAGGTCCAGATTAGGAGTTTATTAGACCTTGTACAGTTGCTTTAGGCCTAGCAGTACCTTTAGAAGATCCTCTAATTGAATATGTTATTATGTTTGCTATTTTGATCATTTGATTTAGACTTATTCATTCATTTGTTTGTTTGTTTATTTTATTTAAAGCTAACAACTTTGAGTATAAAAGTACTAAAAAGGTTCATAGAATATTATACAAGAAAAATAAGCAACACCAAAACACATTCAGAGCAGTAAAGTACACCAATCCATTAATTGATGCTGAAAGCCGCCCGGAGACTCTTGCAGAGTGCGGGCAGCATACAAATCGAATGAATGAATGAATGAATGAATGAATGAATGAATGAATGACTGAATGAATGAATGAATGAATGAATGAATGAATGAATAAATAAATTTTAAAAACCCACTGAATCAGCTAGTCAGTCAGGGAAAGCTTGCCTGAAGAGAAAGATCTCTGCCTTCTTGTGGAAGGACAATAAAGACGAGGCCAGCATAGCGTCCTGTGGGAGGGAACTCCAAAGGCAAATCAATCTGTACCACAAAATATATGTGAATATACACTGAAGCTTCATAGTAGTGGATGCAAAAGGCTCAAATGCCATGTGAGTTTTACACTAGAAAGAAAGAAAAACAATCATGTCTTCAATTATGTGAAACTTTTTGGGGGGCAAAGATACTCTGAAAGCAACTAGATTTCACTTAAATTGAAGATAAGTGGTTTTAAACTTGCTAAATGAGTAAATAAAACATCCCTATACCAACTTGGAACCTGCCTTGTTCTACTACCCTAATAAGGTTTTGGCCTTGAAACAGATATCACAGTTCATTCAACTGTTTTTCCCACTTACAGAAATCTATAGAAAAGAGCAAACACATTACCAAAATTAGAGATATAGATTTGCATAACAATTGCATTTACTGAGTTATTTGTATAGAGGCAAGCTTAGAAATAATGGATTAAATTCTAAAAATAAATACAGTACCTCTCATCATAGTGAGAGAGACTGTGACCAGGTGACCTGTCTACCTTCTTAGTCCATTGTCCAAGTACTTATGGTTTACAACAACTTCAAAGCCCTGCTCCCCTTTCTCTGACTCTTTTTTGTTGTTGTTGCTGCTGCTGTTGTTGTTGTCTTCAAATTTGACTTGGATTGGGCAGTCATCCAAACAGAGGACTTTTGCCTAGCAGCCCTGGAAGCAGAGGTTTTTCTTCCATCAGCAGAATACATAGCTATCCTGCCCTTCACCTGTAGAGAGACACCTTTTTTGTCCCTGTATTGCTCACTGCTGGCTGAATAGTTTGGTGAGTTGGAGGACCTGGCAGTGGAGCCGGAGGTGAGGGGTTTGATTTCCCCACTGTATCTCCCAAGAGAAGAGCCAGCCTGTGTAGCCTTGGACAAACTGCACAGCCCCAGGGAGCCTCCAAAAGTTGGGAATGGTATTTTAACTAGAAAACCCTGAAAAGGTTAGCAGTAAGGTCAAAGTTGACTTGACTGCACACATTTCTTCTTCTTCTTCTGCCTACTACAGCTTTCTCTATTAAGTACAGCTGAGAGTACATTGACTATTGGCATGTACATTGTATGTACCTACTGGTCTCCCTTTGCAGCCTTGCATTGTGAGTCCCCGAGAGCAAGCCAGGAGGGACAGCCATGGGAGCAGGGAACTTGCTGTACACTTTGAAGACAGTGGTGAGAGCGATGAAGGTTGGTGAGTGAGTCTTTGCTGTTGCTTTCCTTGTTTGCGCTCTTTCCCTTTGTGTGTTTCTGTCTCTTCTGTGCCGTTCTCTTTCTTTCCTTCTTCTGTTCTAATGTTGTTTACATCTTTCAGATTCTCTGCTACACATTTCCACCCCCCTCATTTTTCTTTCTCCAGTTTAATTCTTTCTCATCTGCTCTCCCCCTTAATTTTCTTTTTCTTTCCCCACTTTAAACCGTCCCCACCTTCAAAGAATCAGCACTTCTTCTTTCACCCTCAAGAAGGAAGATTCCCTCTACTGGTGACAGTTTGTGACTAGTGTGAGGGTCACCTTCCCTAACATTTAGGGGTGAGGTTCCCTTGTCCATAAGCCTCCCTATGGAGCCAGAGGTTGACAGCTTGATTCCCCGCTGTGCCTCCTGCAATCAAGCCAGTCTGTGTGGCCTTGAGCAAACTGCACAGTCCCAGGGCACCCCCCCCCAAAGAAGGGAATGGTAAACCACTTCTGAATATTCTTTACCTAGAAAACCCTGGAAAAGGTTGCCATAAGTCAGAATTGACTTGACGATGCACCAATTATTATTATTTAAGCTGGCTCTAGTTTATGCTTTGTTACCATACTAAGGTTTCATCTTTGTTTCTCTAGATATGGATCCCTCTGAAGATGGACTCAGCACCTCACTGATGGAACTTTCTGTGCTGCAAAGACTGGGGCTGCATAGGTTGGAAGCGTTTGGATTTCTTGTGAGCTGGTAGAGCAATATAAAATGTGGCAGTATTCAAGGGAGATGACATTCCTTCTCAGGAGTGAGCACATAGCCATACTTTGGGTTGAAATCAATCCTTAGAGTAAGATGTATGTGGATATGGGTGTGGAGAGTGAGAGCAAGCGAGCAAGGGAGTAGGTCCATGTGAAATTTTACCAAATTACTGCCAGAGCTGTAACCCCCCATAACACTGGCACCAAAATTCACCAATGGCCCACAGTCTGAGTGAGAAGAGCTCATCTTACAGTGCCTCTCTCTCTCCCCCCACCCCCTTTTACCACTTGGGCCACAAGGCACCTGTGCTGAAATGCCTCCAAAATATTCCCATCTGGATCTCTTTGTTCAGAAGGTGTGTCAATGAAAAGATCAAGAATGCAACAGTTTACACCTGAGGAAGGTGATTATCCCATAGTCCTGCACATTCCATCACTTGATTTCCTAGCTTTTCTATAATTATCGTGGTCTTATTATATAAGACCCCTGTGACAGGGAGAAAATCCTCATCAGTTCTGTGGACAAATGTCTTTGGCACTCCAGCAGCAATACTTCATTTGCACAGCTAGAAAATGAGAGAACTGACTCTTGTCCCAGGACCACTCAGGTCCTTGCCTAGAGCAGTGGTTCTTAACCTTGGGTTACTCAGGTATTTTTGAACTGCAACTCCCAGAAACCCAAGCCAGCACAGCTGGTGGTAAAGGCTTCTGGGAGCTGCAGTCCAAAAACACCTGAGTAACCCAAGGTTAAGAACCACTGGCCTAGAGCATCTCAACGCCAGGCAAATATATTCTTATTTTGCCTAACTTTTTACGTGTCGTTTTAATTGTCAACTGTTTTTTTTTTGTTGTTTTTGCTCTTTTGTGGCTTTAAAATTATTCTATCACAATTTTAGTTGGATTGTTTTCTTCCTTTTTTTTAACTGCCCTGGGAATGTTGTGAGAGGGAGATGACTGTCATAAATGATGAAATTAATTGTAAACACACACACACACACACACACACATCCCATTAAGCTATCTGTTCTTTCCTGTGAACTCCTTAAGGTCTCCTCCCTCACAGCTTTGTATGTTCTTCCTTCACAGGGTGGCCTTGACTGAGCAAGATGTGGAGGTGAGGGGATTTTATTTGTATGTGTTTCTACATGGAAAGGTGTCAAGTAGCCCCTCCGAATTGTTCCTCAACATATTCTGGGGGGTTATCAGCTTGATCAGCTGATATAGTGCTGATTCTCATAGATGACTCTGAGACCTTGTTTTTTGACTTTCTACAAAGAAATCCTTCTGTTTCATGCAACATCACATCTTACTGTCAGTTAAATCACAACAGTCTGTTGTTGTAGAAAAGCAATTCTTTCAACTAGCAGAGCCAGTCCTGAGAGCTGTGGAGTTACTGTAATTTCAAGAACATCCTGGAACACAGTTTAATACAGGTGCCCACAGACCTCTATGAGATAGCCACAATATTACTGATAATGAGACTCTGGAATCTTCTCAGTTCTTACCTCATGCTCATATCTTTTTCTGATCCTAATTGTCTCCAGGCAAAATTTGAAGATGTTCCATGCCATCTTAGGAAATTGGGGGTGGGGGGGGGAGGAGACAGACTTCACCGTTTTCCTTTTTTTATTGTACAGAAAATTAAACCTAAAACTTTTTTTTTCAGAAGGCAGAGGAACACTCTAAACTAGTCAATTCACAGCTCACTTAGTAAATATGTCCCCTCAAATATAGTGATTTTGAAAAATCAGTTGTGTGTTTCCCCTCCAGGTGCTTACATTTGCATTTAAAATACTGGTTGGGTTTTCTCTGCAATATGCCTTGTTTAACTCTTGTGCTTCCTTGGCAGACAGCTTTTACCCACTTAGCACTGGCCTTCCGTTGTGACATGTTTACACTCAGGCGGAGGGTACAGGTAGAAGAGCGGGCAAGGAACACAGCTGAGGAGAATATTGAGAAGGAACTGGCAGAATGTTGGACAATGTTGCAGGTCAGAGAAACTACATATCAGATCTCTTGATCATTTTCTGAGTGCTTCTTACTGTGTCTTAAGTGTGGAGGTCTAGTCCCATCACTAGCATTGCATCTTCACAAAGAATTAAAGATGGAGAGGGAACAACAGACAATGAGATAGAGAATATTCTGTAAAACCCCACTTATTTCAATGGGAACTGAGCCATGGCTAACTTGTTCCCTTCCTTTCAATGGGATCTAAATGCAGTCAACCCATTTGAATATAACCCAATGTCTACAGTGCCATTGATTAAATCAGGTTTAAATAATGCTGCAAGCAACTGATTCATTCAATGAAGAATGTGAAAAATGCATAAATTCGGTGCTGGAGATTGCTTGCTTTTGGCCAGATTGGGAGACGAATACCACCTACAGATTTGGTTAATATTTATGTAATTGAATGGCTTTCATCTGCTTTTAATTCCTCCAGAAGCTGGACCAGTCCTGTCTAGACAGCAGGTGCAAAGAAATGGTAGAGCAGCTGAAAAGCAGTCTGACCATCCTTGCTGGAGCAATTGAACGGGCAACAGTTGCTGCAGAGAAATTAGGAGCTGTTCATCAGGTTAGTTTCTTTTGGGGCAGTCATGATTTGATAGAGACCATTTCCAAAAATATAAAAATAAAGCTGAGCTCTTCTTGTGATGTTTGTGTTGTGTGTTGTTGCTATCAAGGGTGTATAAAAGTGAAATCGCACTTGCCTTCTTGCTAGTGTAGATCTTGCATTCACATCATCAGTTGGTTTACAGAAAAGCAGGCATGGTCCTTGTCTACATAGATGTCCCATGAAGTGTAAAGCAGACGTAAGGCTGCAAATGAGACTATATAAGCTGCAACTGACTTTAGGGCCTTCTCAGGTCTGTAAACCAGGCCTTCTGTTCCATGTGATGCCTTCCTGGTCAACACGATCTCTAGTCTGATTGGAGAAAAGGGCAGAAGAAGTTCAGTAGATGGACGGGGAATCTCTGCTGGTTGGAATCCTTCCCTGGAAGCAAAGATAAGCACTTCTCTCAAGTGAATTATACAGAATAGCTGAAATCTCATTGTTTATGTTATGTTATGTTAGCTCCCCTGTAAGTTCCATTGACTCCAATGGGTCTATGTAAGCTAGGTAAAGATTCCCAATGACATATAGTCCAGTTGTGTCTGATTCTAGGGTACAGTGCTCATCCCCGTTTCCAAGCCATAAAGCCATCATTTCTTCATAGACAGTTTCTGTGGTCACGTGGCCAGCATGACTAGACACAGAACGCCATTACCTCCCGACCATGGTGGTACCTATTTATCTACTCACATTTTTACATGCTTTCAAACTGCTAGGTTGGCAGGAGCTCGGACAAGCAATGGGAGCTCACTCCATCACATGGATTCGATCTTACGACTGCTGGTCTTCTGACCTTGCAGCAATGAGGCTTCTGTGGTTTAACCCACAGCACCACCACATCCCTAAATTGTAGCTATGTAAGCTACAATTTACTTTATGCCTATTGAAGTCAAATGAACTTATGGAGAACTTATGACGCAACAAACCTTCACTGATTCAGTGGGCCTGGTCTAGTGAAATTCACTGTACTAAGCAACAGGATTTCAGCCATTCTGTATAATTCACTTGGGACAACTGCTTTATCTTTGCTTCCTGGGAAAGATTCCATGGCCTACCCTAGGATAACATGGAACAAGATCTATCTTTCCTACTGATATGATTTTCTAAAATCCAAATGATGTTTTGCCCAAGATTGTATGACTAGAAAATAATAATCAGCAATAATGCTTTCTTGATATTCCATACCTATCTTTTCTCACCACTCTTGCCGTTTTGTTCCTCTGCTTCTGAATTATAGGGAACGAACACGGTGAAGAGAGTGTTTCTGACCTTGTGTTCCCACTTCTCATGTCATGTGTTCATTACTAGAACCTGGGATCACATGATGTAGTCCCAGCTGTGTTCTTCAGGGTGTGAAGAGAGGGTTATGCATCACACTGAACATGCTCTTCTACTTGCCTAAGTCTTTCCTGCCAACTCTTCCTGTCATTCCAAAACTGTTTTCTAGTGTTGAAGAGGATTTTTTTGGTTTGTGTGTGTTTTTTTTTACATTGCCCATGTAGTAGGTGGAAGGAGATGCTTTGGGTGATGGTTTCCTAATGTCAGAGAAGACATAGTCTGGCTTTGTAGAGAGCTCACAAGCTAGCATCTGTAGGACACAATATCTTGCCTTCATCTCATAGGACAGTAAGGAGAAGTGGCAAGCAAGTGGTATCTTGTCATGGGGCATCCAGCTGTACATTTGCAGTGCCATTCTCTATATCAATATGAGCAGGCACACTTGGGCAAGTGCTGAGGCCCACCTCATAGGGAGGACCTGCTGGTACCAACATCTGCCCTTGTACCTGGCTCTGGAAGCCACCATTTTAATTTCTCATGGAGGCACTGGGGAAAACTTAAATGGATACCCTTTGTTCCTACTGTACTGTATACTTGCTAATGTGGTACAAGATGCCCAAGGTGGCGTATTGCCAAGGATCCCATCAACCTAGAATCAGCCCCGGTATGTTTGTCTACTTGTGTTGTGCAGTAGAACTGTCCAGGTTTTTGCATAAGAGATATATCTTCTGGTTTCAACTGGCATCTGGTTTTGCTATAGTCATAAGAATACATGCCTTATTCATAGGCCCAGTTTCCAACGCTTGGAAATGTCCTTATTTTAGCGATAGGAGTAGGCTGTGCAAATTTATTTTATCTGACTTTTACACTGCCAACCCAGTACACTGAGTGGGTGGTTTTGCATTGCCTTGTACAGAATTTGTTTATAAACTGAGGTAGAGGAAGAGCTGCTAGACTTAATTAGAACCAGAAGCAAGCTTCAGAGGCTGCTGTTAGAGGCCCCCACCCAGGAACACCACAATGTCATTCTAATGTGCTTGTGTGGGTGTCGCTGCTTAATAAAACAGGCCTCCCAGTCCCTACTAACATATTCTCTAGACACTGCTAATCCTATTCTACAGGTATAAACAAGCAGAGTGTTATCCTACAGCTTGTTCTGTCCATGCCAGGGAATGTAACAATTTCTGTATAGGTTCACATGACCCTTATTTAAAACCCCTTCTGGACTTTATTCTGAGAGCTAATACAGCACAATGACTAACAGAAACAGATCTAGACATGGAAATTTCCTGTTCGAACCTTGTTTCACTTATTAGCTTCACATAGCACGTAGCTGAACTGTGGAGTTACTATTGCAAGAAGTAGCAATGGCTGCCCATTTAGTTGAGGCTTGGGCAAATGCATGAAAGATGGAGCTAATCAGAGGCTACTAGGTGTGATGAATATATGTATGTTCAATCTTGGAAAATACCAGGGCAGTTTGACCCAGTATGGGTTGCTTGGGTGCGTGCACCGGAGAGGGATGTTGCTCATGTGTTCTGCCTGTGGGTTTCTCTTAGGCAACAGGTTGGCTGCCGTGAGAACCAAATGCTGAACTAGATATGGCTTTGACCTGATCCAACAGGGATCTTCTTATGTTCTTAACTTGTTAAGCAGCTTAACCAGGCAATCCACCAATTCATAGGACAAACCAGATATTTTAGGTGGTTTGTGGTGAGAAGAGAGGGAACTCTCATTCACTCTAGTGTGCTTTTCTCACCTCCAGGAAAATACAAATCTACTTGCTTTGCTTGGTAATTGGTCTTCAGGACCAAAACACAGGTTTCTTCTGAAATCTGGTTTCATAAACCTGGAAGATTGTATCAGTCATCCCTGTCCAATATTAACGTGCTTTCTGCTCCATGATGTCTGATTGTGCTCTCAGCTTCAGTCACATCTCCTCTATGAATAGTCCTGTGCATTGCCAATTTTTTTTAAGTGCATGCCTTGAGTACTGCAGACGTGGTGTAAAATTCAAAGGATGACAGAACATCCCAATGTGACGTCCAATTTTGTCAATGGTTTGAGCAACCAGGAACATAAGCACAAGTTGTGTTCCCAGAGGTTGGTTGGCGTTTCTGAGAAAGAATCTGTTCTTGGGCTTCCTCCAGGATGGTTTTGGTGGCTTTTGGAGAACTGCTCCATCTTACCCTGCTGCTTTACTTTAAGCATCCCTTCCTGTCTCTTCCCTAGGAGGCACGCATGAGCCGAGCCACAGAAGTGATGGTCCAGCATGTAGAGAATCTGAAAAGGCATCACCTGAGAGATCACACAGAACTGGAGGAAATGAAGAGACTGATCCAGCAAAACTCTCGCAACCGGCAGCTGGCAGAAAACAGGGGTGAGGTGGGACAATCCTTTGTGTGGACGGTGATTGATTGATTGATTGATTGATTAGACTTCTACCCTACCCATCTAGACCAAAGGTCTACTCTGGGCGGCATTACAAATTTTAAAAAACAGTAAAACCAATAAATGTGAATTATGAATCCAAGATGGCAAACATGTCAAAATTTAATTATGGCATGAGGGAAAGCCTGCTCAAATAGCTAGGTCTTAACTTTACTCCTGAAGACACCCAGAGAAGGAGCCAAGCGGATCCAGGGGCAAGTTGTTCCAGAGGTGAGGAGCCACTGCTGAGAAGGCCCGGTACCTCGTTCTTTCCTTCTGGACCTCCCTCAGCATTAGGCCCCTCAGCCACCTGGCCTGGCTGGAACGAGTGACTCTGGCAGAACTGGGTGGGAGGAGGTCCTCTGCCAGATATCGAGGTCCTAAACCATTTAGGGCTTCGTATGTCATCGTTAGAACTTTGAAATCAAGATAGGGATGCAGTTGGGCAATCTGCCGAAGATGGAAGTGTGCGGGACAGACCACTGATGTCACCTGGGTTTCCATGGTGAGTGCTGGGTCCAGATGTACACCCAAACTGCAAACCTCACTCTTAGTGGTAAGAGTCACCCCCCCAAAAGTGAGGGAGTTTCCCAAACCACTGATGTCTGGGCCACCCACCTGAAGGATCTCCGTCTTGCCTAGGCCATGTGTGTTGCCTAGAGAAGATATCAATGTGTAATAATATACAATGGCTGGTGTCTTGTAAGGGGGCCTCTGAGGAGTCAGAAAACACCTCACGCTAGAAAAGATTCCCAGGAGTAATTTAGGTGAGGCTTTAAAAAATGAATTTGACCTCCTGAAACCATGCTTCCAAATTATTAAAAGGCAGAACTTTGAGAAGTTGCTTTTTTGGCCTATAACTCCCAGAATCCTCCAGCCAACATGGCTATTTTAGGAGTTGATACAATAGCCTAAAAAACTCACATTCAAGCTGTGTTAAGAGCCATTTGTGAATCAAATTAAATAATAGACATTTTAGAAGAGGCTTTGAAGTTCAAAAGATGCCTATAATTACGTGTCATCAAGTCGTAACATAGCGACCCTAATAGGGCTTTCAAGGCAAGTGAGATATTCTACCAGTCCCATTCCCTCAGTATGTTTATATAGCCAAGCAGGAATTTGAACCCTGGTTTCCAGAGTCCTGTTCTATCACTGTGCCCACTACACCACACTGAGTCTATTTGTCATAGCATATGATTTTCCTCTTCTCTGATCTTATGCTTAGGCTGGGACTACTTGTTCAAATACCACAGGATGTCTATGGCTACAGTATAAGTCAGTTTGAAGTTTTGGGGGTTTTTTTTGGACTTATATACCCCCCCATAGCGCTACAAGCCCTCTCCGGGCGGTTTACAATTTAATTATACAGGCTACACATTGCCCCCCCCCCAGCAAGCTGGGTACTCATTTTACCGACCTCGGAAGGATGGAAGGCTGAGTCAACCTTGAGCCGGCTACCTGGGATTTGAACCCCAGGTTGTGAGCACAGTTTTAGCTGCAGTACAGCGTTTTAACCACTGCGCCACGAGGCTCTTATTTTTGTTTCTGGTCACATGACACAAAGGCTGATTCAAATCGGTCCGGCCCTTTTTGCTCCCAGCATGTTTATTTTTTTCTCTGTTGCTGGGGCCGTCAACTTTTTTCAAGCCAGAACAATTAAATGGACTTTTTCTTGTGTGATCAGTTGATTTGTTCTCTTAAAGGTGGGAGATGTATCTGTGAGCGGTGTTCGGGTGATGTAGGTAGTTGGGATGCGATATTCAAGACTGCAGGAACACCTTCTCCCATGTTCTTTCCCTCAATAGTCCTCTCATTTTATTTTATTTTTTACATATATGTGATTAGTACTAGATCATTAGTACTAGATCCTATTATCACTGGTATTGATATGCTAGTATAGCACTAAATCATCTCTGGATGAGAATATTTTAATTGTTTCTGTTTTGTTCATATATATATATATGAACAAAACAGAAACAATTCAGATGAAATAAAATACAGTATGTTCCTGTGATATATGACATTTCTGTACACATTAAGAACTTTGGACTGCTGCCACCTTTCCCAAAACACCGTACAACCCTTTCAAAACCAAGCAGCTTGACAGAGAACCATAAAAGGATCAGCAGAGGTGGGACTAGAGGAATGAACAAAATATGGGGGGCTTGGGCTGACATGTGGATTGCATCACACCAAGTGTGAATACTGAACTCCTGAGCGCTGACTGCAAGTTCAGTTGTAATACAGGCTGTGAATCAAATTGGAGTAAACTGCAGCCTTTGTATGCTTTGTTTTATGACTGATGTTTGCAGGATAAACACAGGTTTAATTTTCAAGCCTAATTGCTGAGTCCTGCATCTCAGGGGAATCCTATTGTTAAAGGGGAAATAGATCATCTTAACTGGAAAGAATATATATTCCCTTTGGAATCTAGTAGACCGTAAGGAAGATCACCTGCTGGTTTCAGATAAATAAAAATCACAGTGCTATGTTTGGAAAAGCCAGGTAGGTTTTTTAAAAGGCAGATTACATTATGTGGGGTGAAGGTGGGGAGCCAACTATGGGAGGGCAAAGAGCAGGCATGGAGAGAGGAATTAAATGCTTTCCTTCCACATTTCTTGAGGGAAATCCCATTTCTGAAGTCTATCTAGGCTTTTGAGAGAAAACCTGCACAGATGCCAACACTGGAAGTGGGATTTTTCACAGATCTACAATAAGCGGCAAAAGGGATAAATTCTCCTCTTTACTGACACCTTTGATCCTCGTAACTGTCTCAGCATCTCAAGTTGACACAATTTCCAGGGTGTTTTTTTTTAAACCCTGTATATTCCATGCAAAGGCATTGCATTTAATCTTACAGTTAATTTAGGGCTGGTTTATCATTTTTCTGTTTTACTGGGGTGAGCAAACAAGGCAAGGAACATTTTATCTTGAGTGGTGTCCCAACTCTAATGAGCAATTCCATCACAATAAATTGTCACGTGAAAGATTTCATCACTTACAAATTGTTCTGTTGAGTTTTGGGTAGTTCTAGGAAAACATGCTCCCTAAAGCAAATCTGCTTAGAGATGGGGTACATCTCCAACTTTATATAATTGCTGTGTGTGATGAATGACATTCATAAACAGTACCTTCCTCAGCCCCAGCTCTCCATCTTTCACCTTCCTCAAGGGCTACTCTCTAACTATGTTAAGATTGTAACTATGATCAGCGCTTATAAACTCCCTTTAGCAGTGGTGTAGTCAATCCATGCCTTGCAGGGCTGAAGCCATGAGACTTTCCTGAGTAGCAGGATATCAACTGCCAATCCGTACCCTGCCTCTGTCTTTCCTGTTGCCCCGAGCTTAGCAGCACAGCTTAGCAGCAGTCCTCCAACAGTAGAGAGAGAAATGGACTTCCCCAGGAGCAGTGCATTGTCAAAAGCAATCCCTGCCTTAGTGCAAAGTACAATATTTGAGGGTGATTTGATCTTGAATGGGCAATTAAGAGACATTAACTTTACAAAAGGCCTATTCCTCTTTTTTTTTGTATGGGATGATCCAACGGTCTGCATTTTAGGACTCCTTGTAAGGGAGTAGGCCCAGCAGCCACATTTCCTTTTCTCTTCCATGTCAGTGGTAGGTAGGGCATATAGAGAGTTTGTCAAGTAAGGAGGCTTTTCATATTAAACATACATTTCTATATCAGTATTCAGATTCATAAAATCATAACTTAGTCATAAAGCCAATTTTAAAATGAACCAGTAACTAAAGCAGCATAAGTAAAACCATTCACCTTCATTGTAGCCCCCTTATCTGCCAGATGCGGGGCATAAAACAACTTAGCAAGACTGAATAATTGCCTCCAGGAGCATAAGCAACTCCCTTGTATTGAGTCAGATTATATATAACTCAGTATTGTCTACACTGATGAGACAACAGTTCTCCAGGGTTTACTTTGAAGAGTTTCCTAGCTCTGCTTAGTGTTCCTAAACAAAGAGGGTTGTTATATTTAAAGCCTGTGCTTTGAACTGATTCTGTGCCCCCTGCCCATAAGGGTCTGTCTTTGTCTCCACAGATGACGGGGAGCAGAGAGTGAAGCATCCTCCAGTGCGATTTTTTCAACAGGTAAGAAAGTGAGGGGTGCAAGGGTTTTGTCCAGCTCTTTCAGTGACCTTGCAGAGAACAGGAGCCAGACCTACAATTCCCCTGAAGCCGTACAGTCATGGTTGGAAAGAGAGGTGTCAGACATGTGGCTTCATCGTCCCCTTAGAAGGGTCATGACCTTTGACACTATGCATTTCATCCTCTGATGCCACCCTATAGGCTATTGGCATGGGCACAAAATTAAGCAACCTCTCCAGTTTGAGCAAGGCCTGTTATTTGCAGTGGTGTCTTGTTCTTAAACCAAAGCAGCAAAGCAACCAGATGACAATAGTTGCAGAATGAGCGTGGAAACTGTCATGTGAACAATTAAGTGGTAGCCAAGGGACTTCTCATCTAAACCTTAGGATGCCCCACCACCACCCTAATGCCTCTTCTCTTTATTATGAAACTTGGTCATTTTCTTCTATGATGAGCTTTGAAACACCCAGAAAGCTTGTAGATCCCTTCCTTCCAGGATGAACAGCAAGAAAGATTTTTGTGTGTTCTCCTTCTATCCTATCAATATGTATTTCTGCCTTGGCTTGCACAGGAGAGAACATGGCCAAGAGGGTAGAAAGCTGAACTGCCTAAAAAGTCTGTTATGATTCATCCAGAGTGATATGGAGGTAAAACTAGGGCTGGAGGAGTCATGGCCATCCACATGCGGCTAAAGGGCAACTCTCTCTAATTGGACAAGCTAGTTGGGCCTTTTGGAAATTGGTAGGACCAGGCTGGTCCTGACCTGGAGTAAGGTGGGTGCCTCAGGCAGCAGAGTCCTGGGGGTGGTGGTGGAACTAACATTGACATCCACTGACTGTCATCTGAGCTGACCATTGCTGGAGTCTTGCTTCACTGGAACATCACATCACCTTCATCATGTGGCCACCTTCATCATATGGCCTTCATCATGTGGAACACCACATTACCTTCATCTGAAAACCACCTTGGAGCTAGGCGTTCTTCCAACAGCTGTGGGAGACATCGTAATAAGGGGGCCATAGGTCCTTCTTGAGGGAGGATGGGCCTCCATTTGAAGGTCAATCCTCCTTTTTGGTGACATGCAAGCAGCTGCTGTACATGGCCACAAGATGAGGACAAGATGGTGGTCCAGCATGACACATCACCAGAAGTGTTCCTCCTCTTCCCTCTACGGAAGGCAGTCCGGATGCATCTTTCCTGGAGGGTTTGTGCCAATCCTGGGAATGGGGGGTCCAGCAGCCTCAGAAAAATCACTAGGTCCCCTAATCTGGATTAATCTTTTAACTGTTCAAGACTCTTTGTCTATTGTCTCAAGCTTTGTTCAAAAATAATAACAGATGCATAATTTAAAACAAAGGATTTGCATACAGTTAATGTCACATTTAAACTGGATAGTCAATACTATCCATGTATGAACATGTACAGTAATTAATACACTAGTATGGCCTAATCTCAGGACAATACTACTACTCTCTGGGTAGCCATGTTCCAGTTATAGAATATATCTGGCTATCTGAGCACTTCTGTTTTTGAATACCTGTAATTTTTCTGCCATTTTTGCTTATTTTCAGACCTGGTGTGGTCTGTGGAAAGTTCTATGTATGAAACGATGTCCCCCTAAACTTGCCAATGTTGTCAATCTTGCTGTAAATCATGCTTGAGGGCACATTATGGGAAGAGGGATTGTGGAGCTGGGGTGTCACAGCTTAGTATCAACACCCTCTCCTCCCAAATAATGCTTGACCTTGCCTGTTAGTAACCTCTATTCTTCCTTTCTATCCCAGGGTTCAGCTCGCCGTAGAGTCAGCATTGCAGTTATTCCCAGGCAGCTGACAGTAAGGAATCCCTGCACTTACTATATGCCTTTATGTGTGCTTGTCATTCTATCTTGGACAACATTTCTATTTTGTCTACACATTTCTTGAAATCTAAGTTGAGAGAGAGAGAGAGAGAAGTGTGTGTGTGTGTGTGTGTGAGAGAGAGAGAGTTGCCGCTCTTTCTTTTCATGAATAATTACTAACCAACATGCTTTGTGTTGGCCTTCAAGACTTCCAGCTGGCTGCAGTGACCAAATTCATAGTGGTGCCACTACCTATAAAACTGAAATAGTTACCTGGAGGCTAAGGAGCTATTTGCAGCCCTTGGACGAGGGTCCTCTAGCCTTAAGCATTGTCTGATTGTCTGGAAGCTCTAGGCCCACTTGTGCTCTCTGTGGACCACCTTTCTGGGAACTGCCTCCTCTTCTGCTGTATCTGTGTTAGTATGTGAACAAGAATAGAAAAGGGATCAGGTAGCAGAGGAAAAAGAGAGAGCAATGGACTCCTCTAATGCTGCTGTTTATAATAATAATCTTAGAACTGCAGAGCTGGAAGGGACCCTATGGATCATCTCTCTCCCAAATACAAACCCTCTGAGCAAGTATAGAAAAACCTCCTGTAGGGTTTGCATTTGGGTTTTTCTATACTTGCTCACAGTTTCAAATTTCAGACCATGAGGGCTAGAAACATGCTATTCCCAATGCAAGTTATAGTTTGCATGGCTGTATGGGTTTCCTATAAAAGCTGCTAACGCTGCAGGAATCCTACTGAGCCACAGAACAGAAAAGGCGTCTGTTCCTCTTCTCCTTATTCTTTCTGCAATAGATTCACAGTTCTGAAAATGGACAAGGATCAGAGGGAGAAGCCATTAAGCCAACAACAATGGAGGAAGAAAGCCCAGAAAGGTAGGGAAAGGTTGATGGAAGATGTCAGAGCTTCATTCATTTCTGGAAAGTTGTCTTGCTTAGTCCTGATATCCCTGGTTGTCTGTCCCTTTTCCCAGCAGACACCCCCTCTTCCCTCAAGAAGATTTCACTGATACTAGCTTTATTCTGCATGCGGGATCTTCCAACATTCCACATCTGAACTTGCAGAGGACAAATAGCATTGAGGGTGACACACGCAGAAGTTATTGCACAGAAAGGTACGGTTATCAGCCCAGTTTTCCTACTAGATTTGTTTTTGGGAAAGCAATTCCACATCCCCACTTCATCCAGGGCTGGCCTGGTCTCCCAAAGAAGAGCAGAGATCTGGGTAGTGAAGGTAGCTGTAATTTGAGAGTCTGGCTCCCTGCCTATTAAGATATGGCTTTCCACTGAGCTACGGTTATTTTTGCCATTAGTGAACCAGCATTGCAGCACACATGTACAATGTGAATGCTTGTGTACATGCACCTGGGAACCAAGATTGGGCTGCAGTTCCTAGCATGTGCATATTGGATGCCATGGGCCAATGACACCCTGCAAACCTCATGTGGGGAACATTGGGATATGTGTGAGAAACAAGATGGCCAAGTAAAAGGAGCCCTCTTATATCATGAAGCACGTCACGTAAGGTAAAGCTAAATGAAACACCAGTGTTACAATTAAAAGCATTTCCCCCCTTCAGACACATAGTTTCAACAAAGCTCCATATAAATGAGGCCTGTGTTTACCTCCTCTGGACTGAAGCAAAAGCAAGCAAATTTGCAACATGTAGAAGTGATGAAATCTTATGCCTGAAAATCAGACTGAAGCAAAAGCAAGCAAATTTGCAACATGTAGAAGTGATGAAATCTTACGCTTGAAAATCAGACCTTTTTTTGCCTTTTAAGAGAGCTCTGCTTCTCATTACTTGTTAGCTATCATTCAGTTTGACCCTTAGTTTGCCTCTCTAGCCCATCTCCAAAATTAGATGGGAGCTTCAGAACTCCTTTGGCTTCCTGAAAATTCCACTGGGTTTTATGAGCTGCATTGTAAGATTGATTGATTGATTGATTTGCATAGGAATTCACCTAAGGGATCCCTGCTCTTTTTTCCTCCCAGGAGAGGATCAGAACTGAGGAGAAGAACCAGCATTGGAAAGACAGTAGAGGAAGAAGCCAATGAAGAACAGGGCCATGAGGAAGGGGAGGAAGAGTGTGATGAACTGGAAACCAATGTTTTCCTGTGAGTGTTTCTTCTGCCTTTGCGTTCCGCACACGGTGCCTTCTCCCAATGATTTAAAAAATTGTATCATGAATATTGGCAGTCCATTCTCTAAAGCCATTTGAGAGAAGATCAGAGAAAGGTTTAACTCGCTCCCTTAATCATGACTGTAGATATATGAAAACAGTGTTAGATTGCTCTAGCCCTTCTCCAGCACATGGGAAATTTAATCCACCATACTAGTTACCAACATCTCAGACAAGGAAGTAGGAGAGTTGGAAAAGGGGAAAATAAAGAGGAGCCCAAATGATGAGGGAATGGAGCACCTTGTGAAGGAAAGCTGGAGCAGCTGATTGCACCACAGTGCAGAGAAAAACTAATGACATGGTAGAGCAGGAATAAGGAACCTGTGGCAACCCCAGACCTACTGGAGTATGCCACCATATAGTTATGCTGCCACCAACCATTCCCTGTAAGGAGTCACACAGACCAGGAATGGATTTTACTAAACAAAAGAACAAGGTTTATTGAAACAAACAAACAGGGTACATAAAAGAATCAGGTAAATAGGATAATGTAACGTGGCATAGTCCCAATCACACACATACAACAGATTGGTTCCCACTGAACCCTTTGTGGGTGTTGTCGTCCAGAAGTTCCCAGTTCCTGTAAGGATGGCTTGTAAAATGATGCATGATATTGAGAAAATGAATAGGGACAGATTTTCTCCTCTTTCACACACACAATAAATAGAGCATGGGGTTCATCCAAGGAAAATGATCAGTGGGAGGTTTAGGATAAAAGGACACAGTACTTTTCCCATTTATGGAAATTGTTTATATCGGATACTTTTGAAAAGGGATGAGACAAATTCAGGGGTGATACACCCACGAATGGTTGTGACTCACAATATGCTGGAGGAATCTGGCATTTGGTTATTCCCTTTTTAGTGCAGAGAAATGTGGCTTGTCTCCCTCCCTACTTTGGGAAATGATCGGTCTGGATGCTTCTTAGTTAAAGGGAACAAAAGAGCCTTTGCTTACTGTTCATGACTTTGTCCATTTAAACAGTTAGATGGCTAGTTAGTGTGGAGCTACATCTTCATGCCTCTGTCTCTGGAGAGGAGAAGAGGGAGGGAGGGTCCATCTCAAACAAGTTTAGTGGCTTTCCACAGACACCTAAGGAGAAGCATCCAAAACTGTATTTTACCGACAGGATGACAGTTTGCAACCTCCAGATCGAGAGGCAGCAGGTTATGAAAATAGCTAAGAGCTACAATAGGAGGGAGGGCAATTGTCTTCATGTCCTGCTTATGACCTTCTCTGAGGCATCTGACTGGCCACAGTGGGGAACAGGATGCCTGCGTATGTGACCGGTTAGTCTGACCAAGGAAGGCTTTTAATGCATAAAAATATTTCTTGCCTAGAGTTAGAGATTATATGTAGAATTCAATCTACAAAGAACTTCAGAATGCTCTTTCTGACCATTTTAATTAAAGAATGTCTCTATCCCTTTTTGGAAATACAAGAGAACAAACAGCACCATATGCATACTTATATAGGTTGTTGAGCTCAACTCCTTTTTTGGGGAGAGGGGTACAGAATTTGTTGTTAGTGTGGCACTACGTTTTTTTTTAAAGTATCAAGCCCACACTACTTTTGAAGTAGTAATACTGAAGTGTATAAATGCTTGGAATATCCTATGAATTTATCTGCAGAGTTGGTTAACTGGCTTGATCTCCCTATATTGAGGCAGAACATCAGGCTGATAGCTGACTAATCACTGGATGATTGTTTTATTCTTATTATTGTTGGCAGGTCCAACGGAGCTGAAAGGGGGTATTGCAAAGCCTGGTTCTCCATGCCCACCTACTACTGGGTTTTGATGTGGCTGTTTTTTCTGGGTATTGTTTGCCTCATTCTGATCCGGTTCCTGGAGCTGCAGAAACAATATCCATTTATAACTTCTGACTTCTAAGCATGGAAGGAGCAGAATAACCATGCCAGAACATCATACCACCAAAAACCAAAAGACTGTTTACTTATCCAAATTTTTTAAAACTGGGGGAAAAGATACTGCTGAGTGTGCATGACTGGATACTCATGTTTGACTCCTGTGAAGACTTCTGGAGGAATCTGCAAATAGCTAAGGACATTTTCTTGATCCAAGATGGCTTTTGTTATTGCTCCGTTCATGGCCTTCGTATATATGCCCAGTTCACACCTTTGTTGAGACATGGCTTAATGAGGTAATACTTACAAGTCCTTGAAGAAGTGGAATCAAGGTGTTTCTCCTGTATTTTCAGGTTTAATATCCTTCAATGTCTGGGTCAATGAGCAGGTGTAAGAAAGGAATCATTGGATGGAGGTGGCATGTTCAAGGATGTGTCCGCAAAGCAGTCCTGGGCTTTTCTGCTCCAGACCCTTTCATAACTGGTCACTCCTTTCAGCTGCTGCTCAATTTAAAGCAAATCACATATTTATATAGTATTTGTGGTTATCTCATCCTTGAACAGAAAAGGTTTCTCAGGTTTTATCAGTGTTGATTACTTTGTACTGCAAAAGCATGGTAGAAATCCATAATTACATACATTGATCAGGGAGACTTGTCGTAAAAAAAAAATTCTTAAAAAGGCTCCGCTGCATGAGGGTGGCATTGATTGCATAAAGTCATATTGCGGAGGAAAGGATGTGTGGCACACCACTCTTCACCACCAGTAGGTGGTGCTCAGGCTATCCTGCAGCAGCTGAGGGCATTGCCTTAAAGAGAGAGAGGCCTGGGAGAAGGGTTTGCCTTCCTTCAGGACCCAGGCTTAGCAACACTTGAAAACATGCTGTGAAGAGTATTGGGCTGAATGGGTCTTACATATAGGTAACAGGCATGAGCTGCAGGAAAGGAAGAGAAATGAGCATTCTCCTGCTAGGCAAGACCCAACAACAGTATTGGGCCGAATGTGTCTTACATACAGTATAGGTAACAGGCATGAGCTGCAGGAAGGAAGAGAAATTAGCATTCTCCTGCTAGGCAAGACCCAACAATGAAAAGGCTTTCTATCAAGCAATGCAGGACAAGCCGCAGACAGAATGGCCCTGCCCTCACTTGCTGGAGGCGCAACAGAGAGTGGGAGGTCAGCCGTGTGCATGCCAGGCATCCTGACCCGCATTTCTGAAGCTGCCCCAGTGCCAGACAGTGCCCTGGGACATGCCATCTCTTCACCAAAGTCGCAGCCTTCTGTAAGGAGTGCGGAGGTGCCATTTTGTCATTTTTTAAAAAGAGAAAAATCTCGCCAGGAGCAAAATGTCCTGGGCTGGACCTGAGACAATTAAGCTAGATGTTTTCCTGTTGTGGAACAAACCTTAAACCCTCCCCTGTGGAGAAGTGCATGTCTGTCAAGGGTCAAAATGGGATAGGATGTATTATCTGGAGACACAAATAATAAATGAGGGGTGGGAACTGAGAGAACGATACAACCCCATGAAGTTGTTCTGTATGACCATTTGCACAGTTCCACATCCACTTTGAAGCTGTCCATAGGATGCAGAGACCACGTGTTATTTACCTCAGGAAAGGATGAAACAGAAGAGGGTAAGAAACCTCTGACAGAGCAGTCAACAGGGTTTTTCAGAGGCACTGACATGTCAATTGCAAACACAACACACCTTCCTTCTGTGGGATCTTAGGAACAGGGGAGGCTCCTTCTTGCAAGGTGTGTTTCGATAAACTGCAATGTTTGCTCCCTCCATGTTGTAGTTGTTCAACATTCAGCATGTTTTATATACAGGTACAGCACATCTGTCCACCCAGGGCAGTTTAGTACTCCCAGTGCCCCAGCCACTCAGACCTGAGGGTTGGGGGATTCTGGGTCCAAAACAGGATAACTTTCTCCAAGGTCAGCAGACCAGAGATGCCTTTTTGGGAAGCAAAGTTAACGAGATACACACACCTGTGCATGCATGCGCGCACACACGCGCACACACACACATGCACACACACACACACACATGGGAGCCTAGCGCAAAATACCACATAGGAAAGAGGTGGAGTATCTAATGTGTGGGTGCGGCCAAGCAAAGTGTCTTTCAGGTGTGTCACTTGGAGCATAAGTGAGGCTCGCACATGGCACAGGATAAAGGCTGATCCCTTTGCAGATTAATGTCTGCTGCTCCAAATGGCAGGTTGAGAGTTAGCAGGATTATTGTTGTAGGTCATGACACAATTCAGCAAAGTAGGAAGTGAGCCCTATAACTCACACACTTCCTCTTTCCCACCATTTCCCCTTTACTGCTAGTTTGGCACTGTGTTACTAAATCTGCCATGGGCGAAGCTGTCTTCTAAATGTAGCCTTTGAAAGAAACGATGTGGTCTAGATACAGGAAGTAACAGGAACAGAAAGGGGCCGCTACCTGATATCAGGAGCTAAGCAGCGTTAGACCTGGTTAACAAGTGGATGGAAGATCACCAGGTAATCCCATCTAAATGTAGCCTTCGAGAGGGACAATGTGGTCTAGATACAGGAAGTAACAGGAATAGATACAGAAAGTAATAGGAACAGAAAGGGCCGCTACCTGATATCAGGAGCTAAGCAGCGTTAGACCTGGTTAACAAGTGGATGGAAGATCACCAGGTAATCCCAGAGAACTTCAGAGAGGGCAAGGAAAGAATCTGGCTTGGAATGCTATTGTAAGTGTCAAGAATAGGGGCTAAATGGCCCAACACTTGATTCAAAATAAGGCAGCTTCCTGTGTATTCTGAACATCTTGTATTTTTTTTTTAAAAGCACATGAATTTCATTGGGTGCTTTCTAGTTTCAGCGTGATGCAACATGACATCCAGCAGTTTTCCAGAGTGCTGGAGGGGCACTGTGGAAACAGGAGAAATGCTGCAGCTTCAGGAGGAACGGTCAGATAGTGGTGGCAGATAGCGGTAGCGGCGGCTGCCACCCCATCCCCAGCACTTGCCTCAATGGCCAGCTTTTAGTCAAGTCCCAGTTCACTTCTGCAAGCGAGTGAACTCTAATTCATGGGTTGCCTCAAATACAGAGTCTTGGCCACAGCTTCACTCGTCTTCAGCAATATTGTGTCTGCGTGAAGCACACACACCTTCCTATGGGGGAAAGCTTTGGAAGGCCTAAATCCATGCAAGTCAGCTGCTACTTCTTCCAAACCGTGTGCTTCCCTCCGGTGTGGATTAGGCTACAGGTGGCCGTAATGCAGCTGTTTGCATGTGTGTTTCAAAGGGTGAGAAAAGGTTAAAAGCAAAAAACAAAACAAAAACCCACAACACATAATGACCTGCATTGCGGTCACATGCCAGAATTTGCCCCTGGATATAAGTAAATGAGCACCTTCAGTTTTGCAGATGATAACCATACACAGGGCCACTTGTGGAACAAATTGAGGCTTCAAATTCTCCTTTGTTTAAACCAGCAAGAAGAATGGTTTCACCTCCAACTGTCCCTGCTTTTTTGCAACCGTTGTTGTTTTATGTGCTGTCAAGTCACCTCCAACTTACAGGGACTCTATGAATGAGTGACCTCTGAAAGATCCTGTCCTTGATAGCCCTGCTCAGTTCCTGCAAGCTCAAGACTGAGATGTGGGGCTTTTTTTCGGTCAGTCCATCTCACATTTTGTTTTCCTCTTTTCCCTGCAAACCGTTGTTAACTTCGGAGAATCCCAGCCCGCATCCCTTTAGCTTCCTGTTAGTATTACGCATGGATGTCACGTTTCAGTTATAACAGTTATTATTTATTTATTTATTTATTGAATTTGGTTATTATTTATTTATTTATTAAATTTGTACCCTGCCCATTTAGTCAACTGACGACTCTGGGCGGCTAACAACATATAAAATAAACCATTTAAACTATAGAACAAATAGTACATCAATAGACAAGGACTCAAGATGAAAGAACAAAATAAATCAAGAGGCGGCTGGAGGGAAGGCTGAGTTTCATTCTGCTGACACTCCCGTCCTCCTCATGGTCTTGCCTAAATCTTCCGGCATGACCCAGAGAGAGACTGCACGGAGCGCCCGGCCGGCGACGAAGCTCCGCCCCTACCCAGGCTGGGTGACTCTTGCCGCTTCCCAGCCCAGCGACCGCAAAGCTCTTGGCCGCGTCTCGACCGCCCCGCTGAGCGGGCCACGTCGGGGGGCGGCGCGCAGAAGGACTGGAGGGGAACAGCCGCGCTTCCCGATCCAGAAGCCCAGGAAGGACTCAGCTGAGCGCGGCCGGTGGGTGGGGGGTGCGGCTCCCTGCACTGCCTGCGGCACCAACCACGTCCGGCGCAAAGAAGGGAGAGGCGGAGGAAGGCGCAGCAGGCGAAGAGGGAGAGAGCAAAGCCGGCTGCCTGGACGGAGGCACTTCGATCGCCGGCCGGAGGCTGGATGCTCGGCGGGGCGGGGCGGCAGCTGACGCTCTTCTTCCCCCGCTCAGCCTGGCTCAAGGGCCAGGCGCAAAGAGAGCGCCGGGTCCTTTTCCTACTTCCAGCCCCCGGACACCGCGGACAGATCGGACCGTAAGTCCTCGCGTGCGTGGGCTAGCTTGGGCTCTTGCGGTAGAGGGTGCGACTGAGCGTGTGCAGAGTGCGCCGCCGCTTTCCGTCGCCCCTCCCGTCCCGTCCCGCCCGACCGCTATAGCCAAGCCGGTTACCAAAGGGCCCGGCAGCCCAAGCGGAGCGGGAAGCCGAGCAGATCGGGTTTGCTTCTAGCGCTAGAGGAGCCCCGCTCTTCGACTCCGAGGCGGCGGGGAGGGGCGGCGGATGGGTGGTGGGGAGGGAGGGAGTTGAGCCTGAGGGGTCAGCCGGGCATTGCTCGCTTCTTCCCCCGCCCCGAGTTAGGGGGGGGCGGCTGTGCTCTTGTTGTGGGGGAGACGAAGACGGAAGGGGATCCGCCTCGGCGGCCAGCAGTTGCGAAGCACGTCGAGCCGAGATGGCCCTTCCCTGCCCAGAACGGCGGAGACGGTTGTCTTCCTCCTGCCCGCAGTCTCGGGGACGCCGTGGCGACGTTGAACGCGCAGGAAAGTTAACCTTTGGGCGCTCCAGCTGCTTACGTTGCGAGCACGAAGGCTGTTCGCCCAAGCAGGCGGCTGGTCTCAGCGCTGCGCCCCGGCATCCGCGGGGAGCGATCCTCCGGGATCTTGCAGACGAGGCGGATGATTGGGGAGATCGAAGGGTTTCGGGGTACTCACTCGATCAGATTCCGGGTCCTGTCTCTCTGGCCCACGTGGATCCTGGGAGGAGTTATATGTGTTCCCCACCTCGCTTGTTTAAAGTTCCATAAAGTGTCTTTTCATTTTCAATTAGTGCTTGCTTTCAGCAGATAAAGGTTGCCAACATAACCCCCCCTCTCCTTTCCACCAGAAAGGATGTGGTGGCCTTAACGCTTGGCAGAAATTCAGGCAGAAACACCATGGCAGCGTCTGGGCCCGGGAAAGCTGCATCTGTTGTAATTCTGCCAAGTATGCCCTTATTAGGCAGGTGACTTATTGACAGCAGTGCCTGTGACCAGGTTTGCATGGTCTCCATCTACAGTGCCAACCCCCCAGTGTTCAAGGGCTCCAAGCAGTTAGACAGGATCATATCACTGTTGTGCTGCCCACCTTATTATTCTGTCCTTAAGTCAACCTGTCCGCCATCCTCTCTAAGAGGACTCTTCTTTGGCACCACCGCAGGCATCTTCTCCTATTTTTAAGACGGGCAGGGCATTCCACCACCTTAAGCACAAGAGGCCTAATTTGGGCTTTGTTTCACAGTCTTGATAACCTCACACCTGGGCTAAGGGAGTTGGCATTTCCTGAGAGGCTTATTTCCTCCTGGGTACATGGTGGCGCTGTGGGCTAAACCCCTGGGCTAAGGGAGCTGGCACTTCCTGAGAGGCTTATTTCCTCCTGGCCTCTGGCATCTTCTGTGCTGAAAAGAGGTAAAAGCCTACCATGTGCATTATGAGTAACCCCAGAAGACACACGCTCCTTGCTGTACACAGGAAATACTGCCTGTGCAAATGGAAAACAAAGGGGAGAAAGGAGGGATATGAGGGCTGTGGCTGATTGGAATTGTATTTCCCCTGAGAGATGGGACATGGTGTTTGTTGAACCGCCCCCTAGAGTCGAACATGACTGGACAAAAATTGTCAAGGGGAACCTTTACCTTTTTTTTTATTTCCTCCTGGCCTCTGGCAGTTTCAGTGCTGAAATGAGGTAAAAGCCTACCATCTGCATTATGAGTAACCCCAGAAGACACACGCTCCTTGCTGTACACAGGAAATACTGCCTGTGCAAATGGAAAACAAAGGGGAGAAAGGAGGGATATGAGGGCTGTGGCTGATTGGAATTGTATTTCCCCTGAGAGATGGGACATGGTGTTTGTTGACGGTATAGGTGCTCCTGTAGTTGCAATGCAAAACAAGGATATGAAGGGCATATTTAGTGTTTCATGCTACTTCATCATGACCCACCCCTGTGAGAAAAGAAAACCACTTCCTGGAGGGAGTGATAAAAATACAGTGCGGCAGCAGTTACGTTTGCAGGCTGCACGTGGACTCTGACTCTCACTTAATCATCCGGATGGGTTGCTTTCCTTTCAGCAGCCAGGTGGCAGATACTTGCAGAAGTGGAAGAGCGTAGCTGTAGGGCTCTCTTTAGGTCTCATATTCTCCCCTAATTGCTGTTTGACTTTCCTGGCAGCCTAATTCTCCTGGTGGAAAAACAACCAAGTGCTTCATCTGGGGAAGGCCTGTGTCTGCTGAGGCTTTGCTCTAGGGCCAAGAACGCTGCAGACAAAAAGCTCATAGCCCAGCTTCCTGGGAGCCACAGATCCTGCTAGACTTTTTACTAGGGACAGAGCAAGTTTTCAACTCAACTCTCTTGCACTCTTTGCATAGACAGCAGGAGCAGAGGGCATGGGAACAGGACAGCATCTGAATGTAGATGGGAAGAAACTATTAGAAGTTTGGCTCTAGATAGAAACTCCTTTTTTGGCAAACAAAAAAACAAAATCCTCCTCTTTTTTGTGTCCCGAGTGCTAGTTTAGACTGGTTTATTCAACAGGTCTTTCTTCAGTTGAACTCTTCCTCTGAATACATCAGCAAATGTTACCTGTTCTGTTATCATGAACATTTCCCTTCTTTCATTCCCCATCGAAAGCCCACTAGAAGGGAAAGGGAATGCAGGAGAAGGCATCATGTCTTCGCCACACTGATTCCCTCAGGAAAAAAGCCCAGCAGAAGCTCAACATTTCATCCAGCTACTGATGGGGCTATGAGGAAAATGTTCAAGTCAAATCAGTTTATTCTTCACCCCATATCTTAGCTGGTGTCCCTTTGGCTGATGAGCGTTGCATAGCACACCAAAACGTAAGTCCCTCACTGGGCAGGATGGAGGACACGCAGCATGACTTATTAGCCTTTCTACTACGTCCATCTTTCATTTTGTGAATTTCATTTTTAACTAAAGACTAGATGCTGGTAGCATAGAAGCCCTCATGTCTTGATTCTGAGAATATCACATTTAGATGTTAGTTTTTAAGGAGCCACAACATTTTTGTCTTTTGCATTTTTGCATTTTTCTTTTAAGTTGCCTGATAAGCCCAATGCAGGATACTCATCGAGGCAATTTTTTTTAAAAAAATGTGAAAAATGACTTGCAGAAAAGCCCTGCTGTTTCTAACACATGTACTGTGCAAAGCATTATTTAGCAGCATCAGCTTCCAGGATGCTCAGAAACATTTTCCCTGGCTGTTCCCTCTCTGTCACCATACACATAGGATTTCACGCTAAGGTTATTAAGTTGGTAAGATGCTTTCACAAATTGCTTGGAGAAAATCTGAGTAATTAAGCCTTGTTTTCATCCAGGATGTGCCAGCTGCCTCTGCATTAAGCTGTATTAGGGTTCCCTCATAATGCTAAACCAGCCAGTAGGGAGTTTACACATCTCTCCAGAAACTCTTGAATGGCATTGCCTGTCAGTTCTAACTAGCAGAGCCAGCGATGAGGAGCTGCCTGATGAACAACATCTGGAGGACCACATGTTCCCATCCCTTCAAGCAAGCGAGAAGCTTGATTGAGGTCTTGGGCTCACGTGTTCTCCCCACTGGTACTGCCAGAAGGAGCAAGACGTATTCCTAGCTTGCAGTTGTGCATGTGTAAACCAGAGGTCTAGTTTAGAATACATAACAATAATCATGTGCTGTCAAGTCAGTTCTGACTTACGGTGACGCCTCTGAAGGTTTTCCAGTAGAGAATAAATACTCAGAAGTGGATCCAGCCAATAATGAAAATAAACATTAGATATTTAAAACAAAGTTTACAAATTCTTTAGTGTTTTGCTGGTTTGTTGTACAAATTAGAGCATATTTGAAACAATGGTTCCTGATTTGCATGTCACAACAAGCTAGGGATCTTCTAAAACAGAAGTGGGTAGCTGTGACCCTCAGCTTGTCAAGTTCCCAAAATGGCATAGGTATAAGAAAGAAGGCCACATCCATCAAGTTATGGTACACAATTAATTGGCTCCTGTTACATAGATGCAGCCTCTTTCCATTCCATGTGACATATTCTGTTGATACTGTACTTTGATTCTGATCTGGAAACAAATGACATTTACCTGCGCACAAAGTTAAAATATTGTTAGTTGAAAACTGGAAAAATATGGGAAATCTTGAGTTCAGAATGTCTGTGACAGCTGAGATACAAATCCAGATTATTGTACACGTATTCTACAGTAAATTATAAACATGGAAAATCTTTTTTTAAATTGCAACCTTATGAATTATTCCTTTTTGCAGTTATCTCTTGACCAAATATTAATAATAACTAACTATATCTTTTAGTACTCTTTTAAATGTCTTCCTGGATCAGTCAGTACAGTACTTCCAATGTAAATTGTTTCTAGACCCTATGGGCTTGTTCCAATGAGAAAATAACTTGGCACTGCTTCTCTCGTACTCCATTGCAAAAGGGAGGGGTAATGTTCTGACATTGTTGAAGACCCGATATGGTGCAAGTGTCCCAAGAGATCCTGATGATGATGAGTGGTTCACTTTGTGAGTTAGAGCCAGTGATAAATCTTCTGTCATTCCTGCCTTTTGTTCATCAGCTGTGTTTGGTGTTGTCTGTGTTTGTTACAATAGCCAATGGGGGGAGGGGATAAACAACTAGAAATAAGCATTTCAGAACCTTCATCTTCTTCTGTTGAATCATCACAATTGCTATGGGGGTATCAGTGGAAAATGTCCCATTTCCCCCACCACACCCCTCCATCTGTGGTCTCCCTATGAATGGGAATTTGATGTATAGATGCCCAAGATTCAGACTGCTTCATAACAAAAACAGTTTAAATCGTTTGCAGTACAGTCCCAGAACAAGTTTGTAATCTGTAGATGAGACTCCTGGTAAATGAAACTTGGAGAGCCTGGTAAACAAGTTTGGATAGTGGATTTCCACATGAAAACAGGAAGGAAGATTTTGGCATCTTGTTTTGCAAAAGTATAACTAATCTAAGATATAGATAGGAGGTTTAAGG